ACCTGGTGCAGTACCTCGCCACCATCGCCGGCAGCACCGGCAAGGTGTTCTCTGGTGAGTGCCTCTGTCCTGCCTGCATGCGCCCCTTGCTTTGTCACAGCCCCACGCACGCCGCAGTGGCTGGACACGCGCCATACTGGCTGTCACTGTCACACCGGTGCCTTTGCTGTGCTCCTGGGGGCTGCTGCAGTGCAAGGGAGCAGCAGCACCCGCCCAGCCAGCTCTGGCCCCCTGCCCACTGCACAGCCCCTGCACTGCTCTGCGTCTTTTCCTGCAGTGGAGAAGTGGCAGGCTCTCTACACCATCCTGGAGGCTTTTGGCAATAGCAGCACTGGCATGAACGGCAACGCCACGCGCTTCTCGCAGATCATCTCCCTGGACTTCGACCAGGCCGGGCAGGTGGCGTCTGCCTCTGTACAGGTGAGGGGACCAGGGCCGGCCCCCAGCAGGGGAGCTGGTCCATCCTTGCCAGCGTGGTTCCCCATGGTGTGGGATCCAGCCCATCCTCACGGGAATGTTGTCCAGAGAAGCTGTAACTGCCCCATCCCCTGTGGCAGTGTTCAAGGCCAGGTTGGACAGGGCTTGGAGCAACCTGGGGTAGGGGAAAGTGTCCTTGCCCATGGCTGGGGTTTGTAACTCGCTGATCTTTCAGGTCCCTTCCAATCCAAACCATTCCATGATTCTCCTGGTGTTTCCTACACTAAAAGCTCTGTCGCAGATCCCCAGCCATGCTTGCAGCACTCAACAGCCTGGCATCCTGCTCTTGTCCTTGTTCTCACCCATCAGATGGGATTCCTTGCTTAGTTAGTCCCAGAATCAGTCCCAAAATGCTGTTGTGAAAACAGCAGAGCTCTTAAAATCCAGGAGATGTACTCCATACTCTTGTAGTAGCATTCACTGAGGAGAGATGTTCATGGACTGTGTGGGTGATGTTTGCATTCACATGGTGCCCTGCAGTGGTAGGAAGACCCTCACAACTCCATGGGCAGGCAGCAAGGATGAGGCTGGGGTGGGTTGGGGGTCTCAGTGGGAGTGGGGCACTTGGGGACAGTCCCTCACTGTCCCCCCTCTGCCAGACCCTGCTGCTGGAGAAACTGCGCGTGGCCCGGCACCCGGCCAACGAGGCCACCTTCAATGTCTTCTACTACCTGCTGGCCTGCTCTGACAGCACCCTGAGGTGAGCTGGAGGGGAGGACATGGCCTCCATCGTGGGAGGGGTCTCTGGGACCTCCCCCATGGGGCCAATTGTGGTGTTTATCCCTGCAGGACTGAGCTTCACTTCAACCACCTGGCAGAGAACAATGTCTTCGGCATCGTGCCCCCCTCCAAGGTTGTTGCCATGGGGGGCTGTAGGGGAAGATGGGGGTCTCTGGCCCATTTCACTGCAGGGGGAGGCAGAGCTGGGCTCCCAGACCAATGGCTCCTGTTGTTTTCCACAGCCAGAGGAAAAGCAGAAAGCAACCCAGCAGTTCAGCAAGCTCCTGACAGCCATGAAGGTGATGGGCATCTCAGGAGATGAGCAGAAAGCCTTCTGGCTCATCCTGGGGGCCATCTACCATCTGGGAGCTGCTGGGGCAACCAAAGGTAACAAGCTGGGAGCCATTAACTTGGGGAGGTTTGGGACTGAGGGATGTGAGGGGTTCCAGAGACACCTTGCAAACAGTCTGCAGTGCAACCAAGCCCTGGGGAGAGGGTGGGAGGCTGTGTCAGCTGAGGGACTGTGCCCTGCCACCCTGAATCCTCTGGGGCACCCAGCTTTGTCCCCATGGTTGGGGTGGTCTCATTAACTGGTGGGGATTGAATATGCCCACACCCTGCCAACCTGGGGGAGTGGGGGCCTGGGTGGGGCTGAGGCAGTTGGGGGGTGTCTCCCATTCCCAGTGTAACACCTTTCCCTCCATCCTCCTTGCAGAGCCACTGGCAGATGGAGCTGGTAATGGGAGTGGGGAGGGCTCTGCTCTGGGGGGTGCCACGCAATGCAGATTTGGGGGCTGAAATGGGGGCTTGGGATGCTGCTGGTGTGCTGGGACCAACCCTGACCCTGGTTGGGTCTTGGCAGCCCCAAATTTGCCTGCTGCTCCTGAGGAGTCCCATCCCAGTCCTGTCAGCACCATTGGTGGTGTGGGTCAGGGCTGCCCTGGCACACAGCACTCACCATGGGTGTGAGCCTTCCACAGCACCAGCTTTGCTCTCCATTCCTGAGGATGGCAAATTTGGCTTTGGGGGCTGCTCTTCTCCCCCTGTGGCTTTCTCTTTCTGCCTGTGGTGCTGCATGCTGGTGGGAGAGCTGGGCATGTCACCCCAAAATGGGCACCTGGAGCTGGTGGCTATACCCAGGGGATTTGCAGCCCTGGGGGAAAAGATGATCTGGGGATGAAGAAGGAGAGACCAGAGGGGTCTGGATGTACACTGGGGCGCAGGGCTGGCCTGTGGGGTGCTCCTGGGGTGCAGTGCTGGCCCATGGGGTGCTCTCAGGGCACTAGAGGGCAGCAGGGCCCCGCTGCAGCCACCACAGTGAGATGCTCAGGCAACTCTGGAGCCTTTCCATGGAAGCCTGCTATGGGAGAGGATCCCAGATCCTGCTGGGGGGGAGCATTGCTGCTTGGGGTGGGCATGCCAGCCCCAGTCTGTGCTGCTGCTGCTGCTGAAGCCTCCCCTGTGCCTCGTGGATGCTGGGAGTGCTCAGAGCTGAGTTACACCAGCCCCACAATCTCCTTGGATCCAAAAGTGGCTCCCAATGTGCTGGGGCAGAGCCGAGCTGCTCCCCAACATTCCCCACGGTGCGGGGGGGCTCAAAGGGAAGGGACCCCCATGCTGGTCCCGGTTTGTCCCTGCAGCAATGCCTGGGGAGGGGCAGGCGTGGCATGTGCGGTGGCGTGGTGGCAGGAGGGTGTCCCCCCCCGTGCCATCGTGTGCCGTTGTTTCTAACCCGTGTCTCTGTTCGCATGGTGCATGCTGCCCTTTGCAATGCAGACGCCGACGAAGGTAAAGTCCCGTTCTGTTCTGTTCTCTGTGTGTCTCTGGCTTTCCCCTCCCCCGTGCCGCCCTCACCCCGCTTCCGTGTCCCTGTGTGTCACCATTAACCGGCTCCCACCGCCCCCCAGCGTCCGTGTGTCTGTCTGTGTGGCTGTGTCACCCAGCAGGGACATGTCCCCATGGGGTGGCTCAGAGCCTCAGAGGTCCCTGGGTAGTGGTGGCAAGGGATCTGTGCTCCACACCAGTGTGGCTCCAGGCTCAGCCTACAGCAGCACAAAGCCATTCACCCATTCTCCCCTTAGACCCCAAACATCTCTGTCTCCTCAAACCCCAAAACGGGTGCTCCCATCATCCCTAACCTACTCTGTGGGTCCCTAAGATCCTCCCAGGCCTGTTTGGAAATGCTCCCCATTTTTAGGGGTGCCCTTCCTGGCCCTGAACCCCCTTTCTCCACCCTTCAGCTGGGAGGAAGCAGTTTGCACGGCACGAGTGGGCTCAGAAAGCCGCCTACCTGCTGGGCTGCAGCCTGGAGGAGCTCTCCTCTGCCATCTTCAAGCACCAGCCCAAGGGCACCCTGCAGCGCTCCACCTCCTTCCGCCAGGGCCCCGACGAGTCTCCCCTGGGGGACAGCGGCACAGGTAGGGTGAGGTGTGGTGGGGACAGCGGGTGTCCCCAAGGGATGCCGGGCTGGTGACACTCAGGCTTGCTTTGGGCAGGTCCCAAGCTGACGGCGCTGGAGTGCCTGGAGGGCATGGCAGCTGGCTTGTACTCCGAGCTCTTCACACTCCTCATCTCCCTCCTCAACAGGTACGTGCTGGGGGGCCAGCAGGAGAGTGGGGGTGCCTGGCTGTGCCCACTGACCCCACTGTGTCCCTCTGTGCTCCCCCCAGGGCGCTGAAGTCGAGCCAGCACTCAGTGTGCTCCGTGACAGTGGTGGACACCCCTGGGGCACAGAACCCCAAGCTGGCAGGGCAAAGCCGGGGTGCCACCTTCGAGGAGCTGTGCCACAACTACGCCCAGGAGCGCCTGCAGCAGCTCTTCCACCAGCGCACCTTCGCCCGTGAGCTGGAGCGATACAAGGAGGTACCAGGGACACCAGGGCTGCCATGGCCTCCTCCACTCCTGCCCTCCCATAGCCACGTGAACATCTCCTATGTGTCCCCCCTGATTTCTTATGCAGTGGTCATTGTGGACCAGTGCAACCAAAGCTCAGTCTCCAGGGCTGTCCACAGGAGGGCTGGGCTGGAAGGTGGTGGAGTTAGCACTCTGCATCACTCTAAACCCCATCAAGACCAGCACCCTGATGGGCTCACGCTCCCTCTCACTGCTACTCTGCAGTGTGGGTGCTCACCTGCCCCTGTTGCTCTGTTCCCCCTCACCAGGAGAACATAGAGCTCGCCCTGGCTGATGCTGAGCCCAGCTCCTCTGGCTCCATAGCTGCTGTGGACCAGTCCTCACACCAGGCACTGGTAAGCACTTTTCACTCTTCCTTCCAGCCACATCATGGCAGCAGATGGGCACCTTTTTGGCCTTTTGGTGGTAGAGGGGAAGGAAAGGGGGTGATGGCCATGAGAGCATGGGTGCAAGTGTGTGTGCACCCCACATCTTAGGCAGGGGGCCTGGATATTTCTGGGGTGTTCCAGGTTTCAAAGTGCTCTGGTCCCCAAGGTGCTCATGTTCCTAGTGTCCATGGGTCCCCAAGGTTCTCCAGTCCCTGGGGTCTTCCAGTCCCTTCTGGAGGAGGCTGCTGGCACCATCCCTGTGCTGGGTTTCAGCCCAGCACTGCATTTCCCACCTCAGTGAGATGTGCTGCCAGAGTGTCCCATATGGACCCTTTCCCTTCTGGGTCTTCACTAATCAGGAGCCCTCTCCCACGGTGTGACATTGTGTGCTCCCTGGGTGGCCTTGGTGCCCTGTGTCACCCCGTGTCCCTGCCCTGGGGGACCCTGGTGTGCTGGGGTGGCTGCCAGCGTGGTGACCCTGCAGGTCCGGTCTCTGGCCCGCACGGACGAGGCGCGGGGGCTGCTCTGGCTTCTGGAGGAGGAGGCTCTGCAGCCGGGGGGCAACGAGGACACCTTGCTGGAGCGGCTCTTCTCCTACTACGGCCCCCAGGAAGGGGGTAAAGAAGGTATGGAGGGAGGCCTGGAACCATGGGGATGTGTCCACTAGACCAGAAACAAGCTCTCCAGTGGAAGATGTCCCTGCCCATGGCAGGGAGTTGGAATGGGATGATCTTTAGGGTGGCTTCTCACCCCAGCCATTCTGGGGTTCTGTGACATGCCCCAGTGAAACACTCATCCCCAGGGCTGTACCTACTGGTGCTGTGTTTCCCTGCAGGGCACAACCCGCTGCTCCCCAGTGATAAACCCCGACACTTCCTCCTGGGACACAGCTCGGGGACCAACTGGGTGGAGTACGACGCTACGGGATGGCTCAACTACGTCAAGCACAACCCGGCCTCCCAAAACGCCTCTTCCCTGCTGCAGGAGTCCCAGAAGTGAGCAGGGCCCTGGGGTGGGAGCATGGCAGGGGGCAGAGGTGACCCTGGGGGGTGACGTGCCCTCCGTGCCCTGCAGGAAGGTGATCAGCAGCCTGTTTGCGGGGCGCGGCGGCTCGGCGCTTGTGCTGTCGGGCTCGGTGGCGGGGCTGGAGGGCGGCTCCCAGCTGGCCCTGCGCCGCGCCACCAGCATGCGCAAGACCTTCACCACCGGCGTGGCCGCCGTCAAGAAGAAATCCCTCTGCATCCAGATCAAGCTGCAAGTGGTGAGTGAGGGGGTACCAAGGGGGATCCCCACATCTGGCTGGGGCACCTGGCTGGGGCACTGCCGCAGGTCACCGCTCACCCCGCTCTGCCGCACCCGCAGGACGCCCTCATCGACAGCATCAAGAAGTCCAAGCTGCACTTTGTGCACTGCTTCCTGCCCAAGGCGGGGGCTGGTGGGGACCCCCAGGCCGTGCTGTGCCGGCGGGTGAGCAGCAGCGAGCTGGAGCTGCCGGCAGAGCACTGCGAGGCCGGGCTGATGCAGCTGGACGTGCCCCTGCTGCGTGCCCAGCTCCGCGGCTCCCGCCTGCTCGACGCCCTCCGCATGTACCGCCAAGGTGAGCCCTGCCACCAGCACCAGGGCGTGGAGGCCCCAGCTGCGCCTTCTCACTGGAGAGCCAGAGACCCCCAGGAGTCCCTTCAGCATGTGGCCTTGCTCTGAACTCTGGAGCCTCTCCCCAGGGTGGTCTCATCCCTGTTCCCCCTCCCCTGCTGGGCTGTTATCTGCACTGGGGACAGGCATGGCCTTAATTGGGTGTCTCCCCTGGTGCCGCTGGTTCCTGGCAGCAATCCCATTGGCATCCAGCCCCTGTCCCGCTGGAACGAGAGCCTCTGGGTTGTGCTCAGCAAAGCATTTATCGATACATTGGCTGGCCAGCCACCCGGCCGAGGGTTTATCGCTTGGAGGCCGAACCCTTCCTGCCATGATTGGAAATCAATGCCACCTGCACACCTCCTGGATCGATGGCTGTGGCCAGCCGCCCGTGCCGGGGTCAATGTTCCCATCAATACCTCATCGTTAATTAAGATATGGAGGCTCAGTGCTGGAGCCTGATGCAGGAGTTGGCTGTGGCTCAGAGTGGAGCCAGAGCAGGACTTGCACAGGCAACGCGTGTCGCTGTTCTCCCCCCGAGGAGGGATCTGGCCGCTTTCTCCTCAGATCCCAGCCAAAACTGCTGGAAGATGCAGCCAAGGAAAGCTTCATGGGGAGGCTGAGGGCATTCCAGCTATGCCTGACCCCATGGGGAGCTTGTGTCACGTAGGGCAACCCTGTCAGCTCTCCCAAAACATGAGCCCCAGCATGTCAGGGCACGTGGGGCTGTCCCTGGCCATCCCCTGGGCATCCACACAGCCCCACTCTCCCTTGCTTCCCCAGGTTACCCTGACCACATGGTGTTTGCGGAGTTCAGGCGGCGCTTTGATGTCCTGGCCCCACACCTGACCAAAAAGCACGGGCGCAACTACATTGTGGTGGATGAGAAGCGGGTACGTGCCCCATGTCAGAGTCACTGCTGTGGTCCAGGGTCCCCTGCACCTCAAAGGGCCTGGCCCTGACACCTTTCCCTCCCTGCAGGCAGTGGAGGAGCTCCTGGAATCGCTGGACCTGGAGAAGAGCAGCTACCACATGGGCTTGAGCCGGGTATGGTGCCCGACACCACCGGGTGTGGGTGTGGGCAGGGCTGTGCGTCATGGCACGGTGGGACAGCAAAAGGGCAGCACTGTTCACTCCCACCCACGGCATTCCTCATGCCTGGGGAATAAAACCCCACAATGGGACAGGACCAGCGGCTGTGGAGGGGAGAGACACATCCCCACCGGCGGGAGGGTGGCACAGTGTGGCCGGAGGGATGCCGGCACCCATTGCTGTCCTGCTCCCTTCCCACAGGTGTTTTTCCGGGCTGGATCGCTGGCCAGGCTGGAGGAGCAGCGGGACACGCAGACCAGCAGGAACATCACCCTTTTCCAGGCAGCGTGCAGGGGCTTCCTGGCACGGCAGCACTTCAAGAAGAGAAAGGTTCGTCCCAGCGGCTCTCCCCTCCCCGCTCTGCTGCACAATTTCGCCTAAAATGGGCAGTGCAGCCTTTCTGCGCCTCCTGGGCCAGCACCTCCTCCT